TACTACTGTATCTTGGGCGTTCGAGGCCCTCACTAAGCGCCTGTTAGAGCAGCGTTTTATGTACCACTTTGCGAGGGAGGGAGCTAGTAAGAAGGGACAGTTACATTCATCGGGGTGGGAAAATACGCATATGGTCGGGGACTACTGTGTAGGGGGAATTTCTGAGGAAAATTGGGGAAATCCTCAGTGGTTTCCGCACACTTCTACTCGAATTCGTATATAAACTCCTGTAATTAGCTTTAGAAACTCTTGAGCTTAGCTGAAGAGAGCGGACATATATACATGGGGAATTCTCCGATTATCTCGCGCCTTTTGGTTGAGTATGGTTAAGCGATGGGTTCACTTCACCGTGGGAAGGTACGAATCGGCTTGATCGGCCAGAATGGGCAACAAGAAGATTCCTCGACGTATGGAGGCATAGTGAGACGGTCTATGATCGATGGCTTAAAGAGGCAACTGTGGAGGATGCGGTGGAACTCCGCGGTCAACTTGATATCAACTTCTCCAAAGTCCTGGGGAAGTAAGTGCTGATGCAAGTAGCGCGCGCCCTGGTGATCGATTTGAAACGTATCAGGTATTTTTGGGATACACGGTGGCCGTTGGTTTTGGATTCACCGCAGTTGTTTGCCCATCACTTGTCCCAGTATCTGGGAACTATCACGGAAGTCGGGGAGTTCGCTGGTGATGACGCCGCGCAGGAGTTGGTATTACGATAGGTCTGTATGCGCACAGTTCAGCTCTGCAGTAGATACGGAGTCTTACGGAATCGTCTGTATTATTGCAGGCTTGGGCATCTGGGGACCTCTCGGCATGCTCTATGGCGCTTCAACAGGTGAGGGTGCCCGTTGAAAGAAAAATAAAAATAGAAATAAATAGAGAAGAACAGAGTATATAAAAAATAGAGCAGAAAAAACACTGCGGAGCGAGCGAAGGGATTGCGGAGCATATACCGCAACAACAGGGCCTGTTGTTGCCTGTTGAACAGGCACTTTCGCGTTGTGCATGCGTGCGTACAGAACTATTCTGGCTTAGCTACGAAGCGTGGGAGGCTACGAGATAGATGAACGACTCCTCTATATGCCGAGGTGTAGGCAAAAATCGGAAAACTCGATTATACAAACAGCTCGAAAAGGCATGCACGAATAACTTTGATGACGGAAACATGTCCAACCCAGGGATCGAACCGGGGACCTAGGTCAAATTCATTGATCTTATCAATACACGTGGACTAAGTGAACTCCGCCCCTTCGTCACGAAGGCCTAGTAGTGTATAAATAGAATAAAAAAGAGCAGAAATTACTAGACCGAATTGTCCTGTGATTTTACCCTTTTACATTTTTTATTTGCAAGGTTGACTCGCCCTGGGCATCGGATCGGAGCTGTGCCACGTTGAATAGGCTGGCGACTACTCTGATGGATCTTGTAGAGAACGAGAGTGTCAGTCGGACCAGGTGAACTAGTGGGGCATTTTGTGGCGCAGTGACGCTGTAGTTTGTTGTTGGCAGCTACTTGGCGAAGAATTCAACTGCGATGGCGTTTTTTGCTGATGCGATGTATTGGCCGCTGATCGAACAGTTTGTTACTATGGAAAAGCAGAAAGTGAGCCTGAACTGAGAGATGTGAACAATTTGTGGAGCTCTCCCGACGGCAGCGTTGGAATTTATGTTTTTTTTCCAGCTGAGCTCAGGGGTTTCGACATGAATTATAGGAGCTTATATACGAATGATAATATATTCTTCTACGTTTATCCGAACTCGCTCCTACATTTATTATACGAAATTCGTACAATAAAATGTACGTCGTTTTTATAACGTAATACCTATATTTCTACCTGCACACAATTTAACAAGAATTTCCATATTGTCACCAACATATATGTATATTCCCACGACGATGACAGTGTGTTCCAATTCGGCATCGATGTTGACCTAGCAGTGTGCTCCTCCTAATCTCAGTGGAATGATCTGCCGACCCTCCATGGCGAGGACGAGCCGACGGCGCGGTTGATCCAGAAGAGTATAGAAGGTGTGTCCAGTTGGATCACTGGAGGTTTGGAAAATGAGGTTGGGACAGATTTGTCACGCGCCACGAAATTGCCGATTGTTTGTAGATGCTCCGCAGCCTCCTGGCTGAGCACATTGCCGAGTTGGAGGAGTTGGCCCTGAAAATGGCGAAGATGATTGAGGAAGAGTGCGGCGAGTAACTGCCTGTGTGCGGCCGTGTTGGGGTTCAACATTGGAATATTTGAGTACTTTTTCTCCACCACTGAAACAGCTCTGCTAGTTGAGTTCATAACGGCTAGGATAAGGCAACGTATGGCCTGTGATGTTGTTTTCGAGATGCGGTGTAGGACCCTTTCTGGTTGGTTTCGCTGACAACTGCAGCACTTTTTAATACCATTAACGTGAGGATTCGAAAGCTCGTATTACTTCGTCCATTTGGTGAGTATCGTAATACCCCATCGTCGATATGTAGCGGTTGATGGTGAACATGTTGCTGTTTCGGAAACGCGATAATATCAGGAGTTGCATCTCTCGTCGACGACGAGTCGTCGTAAGGAGATGTGGGAATCATGTAATCATTTGTAATCGTCGTTTGAACTAGCATTGAATAGCTTGATCGGGTTGATTGCCAATATATCATCAATAACCACTGTGAGGCAAAAAAGCAAACTCTGATACACTTCGCAATTTATAGATCAATCGTACGTAAGGATGAAGTCCAGAGAAACGGTTGAGCGGTTGAATTCAACGAGGTGGACTTTAGCCTCTCGAGGATAACAGTACAATAACCGCTTCGCCCCTCTGCTCGTGGACCACGAGTCGTGATGATGGTGATGGTTTGATAATAAAGATCTCGTTTAACTGCATTTGGTAGATTGACGCATTGTTGTGATGACAACCGTTATCGGCCGTCATTTCGGTTGTCGGCTACCATCCTGCACCATATCGAGGCAGTTCTGTTCGAACCAGGCTAGCAAGGCAGGAGGAGGAGGAGGCCACTTAGACCGACTGCTTGATAAGGGAGCGCCGAAGTATCTCTTTGTTGGTAGGCTGGTAAGGGCACGGAAGCAGCATCGGGGGTTCGTTTTTGTTAAGTGAATACATGAATGCATCTACTTAAAAATGCACTATGGTACATGTATAGTACAATATAGTATATGTACGGTATATACGTAAAAATGAATTCCCCGATGAATATTCATATGATCTCTTCCCAACACGATGATTGGATCAGCAGTTTGACTACTCGTCGCTCTACTATGGTGTTCCCTCCTGATGGTTGGACGATGGGTCTGCCTCCTCGGCAGCACCACAAATCTCCGCCATATTTTCGTTTGTAGTATACAGCTGTAGTAATATCAGAATCGCTCTGTTAAATGGTCGTATTTGACTTTACAGTTAATGGGGTAAACTATATGTAACGGTATTGGTAACGCTATCTGGGGACTTTACTGTACTTTTGGCTGTATTGGGTAGAAGTGGTACCATTGTAGTTCCCTCAGGTGGTAAAGGAGGTGTTGGTAAGACTACTTGGGCGGCCGCATTGGCAGTTCGCTTTGGTCGAAGTGGCTTGCGTAGGTGCTTGGACTCTGCTATTGTTGAGCGTGTTAACGTGTCAGGCACTCTGTGTGTGTCGACAGATCCGGCCCATAGCTTGGCTGATGCCCTACAGGTGAAACTGAAGGGCGAGCCTACGATGGTCGAGGTAATCTGAGTACTGTTGTCCATGTTATGAGATGTGGTCTTCCCTTCCACTACAGCAATTAGTCTTTTATGCTGAATCGATGTGCTGTGGGGTTCTCTACTGTTGACTTGTGAGTTACCACGTACGAGAATAGAATAACTTTTAGTAGGGTATGGCTTTACGTTAACTCGTGTCTGGAAAGGCTAGTATCATCGCCAAGTTAGTTTCATATGGAGCTCAGGAGTCACTGTATGGCCTGGAGGTGGACGCGAAAGCAGCTATGAGAGAGTTCGCCGAGGCAGTTTCCATCGACAATGTTCAGAAGGCAACGGGAATCGACATCAGGTGTCTCTGTGGTGAAGGTAGAGCTCGAGGGTGCATCTTGACAGATCCCTCGCATCGAAAGTTGGAGTTGATTTTACTCCGATCGAGACTCAGCTAGGCGGCATGTCTGAAGTCTCTACTGCTCCCCCTGGGATGGACGAATTGGTGGCTATGGCTCGGCTCATGCAGTTGTTGCACAGCTCGAAGTGAGGCTTGGGGTGTGGGAGGTGCGATAGTAGTGGTAGTAGTAGTAGTGTTATCAGTACATTTGATGGGATCAGTTATAGAAAAGTGTAGAACGCGTGGTATAGAGTCTGTACTCAATACTCTACCAGTAATATGTCTGGTAATTTTATAGGCATGCATATTGTTAGGGTGGGTGTGGTTGGTAAACCGATCTCAGTTACGCGGAATTTGACCGCATAGTCATAGACACTGCACCGACTGGTCATACTCTGAGGCTACTCGCACTACCAACTTTCATTCACACTGCACTCACCACGACTATGCAGATTTACGACAAGTGAGATGTACATGGTGTCAGTGAGTGATGCATTGATGGTGTGCTCAGAGTATCAACAGCTGTGACGGCGTTTACCCCCTTGCGAACAGTGTATAGTAGGAAGTGGGTTGCTGGCGATGTTGTGCTCATATGTTCAGATACTGTCCTAGGTAAGGGTGCCGAGCTCGCCCCTGAGGCTATACAGGAACGACTTAAGGAGGTGAGGACCGCATAGGGGGGGGGGGTCTTGGGAGATCGAATACCTACTTTATGAACTGAAGTGTGAGATTATTGGTAAGGAATGCACTTATGATATGGAGTAGGGGTCTGTAGGTTATCCACCTGATGGTAGCAATAGGTGACGATGTTCGCAACCTATGAGGGTGTTCAATCTCATGAAGGTGTTCTGTTTACTCTCGAGCCTTTGTTAATCTATGGCTATATAGACACATTTACATTTGACTATTATAGTACTTATACGTAGTATAAGTACTATATATGGTATTATATATTGACTATCATTTACTATTATAGTACTTATACCCTGTCCCCGGTCTTGGCAAGGTAGAGCTATGTGGGTGTTCTATCTCACCAAGTTCTTCAGCCTTGCTCTCGCACCGGTGTGATAATGTGTCTATGCAGTAGGGTAGAGTAGCTTGAGGCCTTGGTGAGTAGGATATGGAATGCTTCCTAGGCTCGTGAACGAGTGGAGAAGTTCCAGGAGGGTATCAGCAATCTTAATGGAGTTCTCCAGAATTCGGCGGAATCGGGATTTGTGAGTGCCACAAGATACCCTCCCCTTAGCTGCTGGTCAGATGGTTGTGTCCATTCCAACACAGTTGGCTGTAGACGAGTCTTTGAGACTTATCGAGGTCAGTCTGGACCAGTCGCTACTGCCACTTAGACCGACTGCTTGATAAGGGAGCGCCGAAGTATCTCTTTGTTGGTAGGCTGGTGGGAGCGTTATTGTTTTGTAAATACATGTGTGCATCTGTATGAAAACGCACTATGGTACACGTACGGTACAACATAGTATATGTACGGTATATACGTAAAAATGAATTCCCCGATGAATATTCATATGATTTTCTTCCCAACACGATGATTGGATCAGCAGTTTGACTACTCGTCGCTCTACTATGGTGTTCCCTCCTGATGGT